CACACACACACACACACACACACACATGCACACACACACCAGGCCAAGCCCAGGTGGGTCTGGGGTCCTGGTACCATCTGTGTGAGCAGAACAGTAAAGTGCTATTTGTTTCAGGTCCTTGGAAAGGCAGTAGAAACCCCTGCTCCCCCACACACACCCTGTCAAAGGGGTCCAAATGTGGCCATGGGGTTGTGCTCTCTGCCTTGTGCCTGGCACCGAGGGGAAGTAGGTGAGTTCAACCCCTGGCATCAGGTTATCTCCTGCCACGTACCAAATACAAACAACCCCCCCGCGTAACGCACACACTTACCAAGGAGGCCTGGGGAAAGCAAAGGTGGATTTCTCAGGCTGCTGCTGCTGCTGCTGTTGCTGCTGCTGAGCTGGAGAAAACGGAAATAGTCCTCACTCCAGCAGCAGGAAAGCGTCATGTACTGCATACTTCCTACAGCAACCGGCACTGCTGGGAGTGCCCTGTCACAGGATGATCAGCAGGCAGGCAAGAAATGCAAGGCAGCACCTACGGCCACCTTAGCACAAGCCCAGCACTGTTAAGTGAGTGTGTGTGTGTGTGGGGTGTGTGGGGGGGTGTTTTTAACAGAGCCTATAAAAGATGATCTGTCTCCTTAGCAATGGAATCGGCTTCCCTGGAAACAAAACTCAGCCGGGAGATCAGCCCTCGGTAAGTAAAGAGATGCTCGTGTTGTGTGGAGAAACCTGCATTGAGAGTCCGGCACATCACTGACTCACACTTCAGCAGCATCAACTTTGGAGGGCCTGCCTACAGGCAGTTGTAAGGAACCTGCTTTTCTGCGGGGGAGTGGCTTAGGATTTTCTGAAAATCAGGCTGCATTAGGGTCGCCCCGGGAATCTGAGGCATCAGAAAGCCACCAAATCACTCTGGAAGATTTAGCCCTGATCAGACTGGTTGGTAAGTGAACAGATTCCCCATACATTATGCCCTGGATTTCCCCTGGATTTGTACAGCGCTGCACATGGTGAAGGCCTGCTCTGTGATAGCTGCTTCCCTGGCATTACCACAATACAAAGGAATGAATAAACAGACATATATTCCTGGCAGCAGTCTTGCTAGCATATCGGTGGAATTTGACCCCCCCCCCAGGCATGTGCAAAGGGTCAGAGAAACAGTTGCAGTGCAATGTGGGGGGGGGGGGGGGTTCCATGTCTCCAATTTGTTTTTCACCAGACCAA